AAACTTGCGATAACTACACAAAAATTCCAAGATATGATATGATATGCAATAAATTCTGGTATCATCTCTGATATCATAAATAAAATATTTCCATTTAATCAAATCATTCAAAAAAATTTTAAAGCTAATTTAACACAGATATTTGCTTTTGACTATGTCATGATATTTGTTAAAGAGATTGTAATTGCATGAAAAAGAGCGAAGTGAGGTTGATTAAAGTAGAATAAATTAATTTTGCATTAAAAAATTTGCATAAATTTGAAATAATCAAGTAAATAATTAAGTAAAGGTAGTTAAATACAATTTACAACACTTATCTACAATATGTACAATCTACAATCTACAAAATCAGTTTCATTTTTAAAAATTTTTAATTTATATTGTAAAGTTTTTATTTTTATGTTTTTTTTAACTTCAATACATTTGTAATTTTTATTCTGATAATTTCAGGCATTCAAACTGATCCCAAACACCTCAGATCAGTTATGAAGTATATGGTGGAAGATATTTTATTGCTAATTAAACTTATTATACTTGTAGTCAGTGAAGCAAAAAACTTTCGACGTGAGCAATTTTAAGCATATTTTTTCAATTTCTAAATATGAAAAATTTTTAATTTATGATAAAAATGAAGCAAAGTTTGAATAAACGAAGAAATTGAAAAATTTTAGCATAAAAATATGCAAAATATTTATTGAAGCCTAAATGAATTTACGGTAAAACTCTTATTATTATTATTTCATCTAGTAACAAAGACACGCTTTGCTTACGTGTTTAGCGTGAAATTTTATTATGAATTTTATTAGCGTAAAAGTGCTTTAATCAAAGATTTTAGGTATTTGTGAAATGCATAAAACGTGCGTCGATTGTGGTGGAGAGCGTTTTTCATACTACAAATGTAACAGTTTAAATGATTGCTTACCAAATGAGATTTGCACTAAGGGAGGATTCTGTTGCCCACTAACAGTAATCCCAATGACAACTTCGTCTACTTCAAATTTAAATTTTGGTACAGTCAATTTAGTGCTTTTTTCAAATTACTAATTTAATTGTAAAATTATAATTAGCAATTTATAAAAGATATAAAATTTACTGTACTAAATATGCACAATGCATAATTTTCGTAAATATAAGATAAAGAGAAATAAATTTTTTTAGTTAATGAATTTCTACTGCATACTTGAACGTTGATAAATTTTCCGTGAAAAATAGAAACAATTTTCGATATATTTGCTTTTGATAATTGATAATTAATTATGCGGTTTGATTTAGCGAATAAAAAAAGTAGGACGTTCGAATTACGGTATTATATACGTATTACGATATATATGTATAAACAATTAGAGTTACGATACATATGTATAACTAATTCCAAGTGGTTCAAAATTAGAGAAATGTTCGGTTTATAGACTTCAGTGAAAAAAGTTTTGAATAAAATTAATATTAATAATTTGAATTAACATTAAAAAGCCTTCAAAAGCCCAAAGAAGGCCACTTCTTAAAGCAATTATGAATTATCATTTATTCATTACAGTTAAGAATTGTAATAATAGTAAAAAATTCAAATATAATAATATGAAATAAGTTGCTTCATTTTTCTGCTGCTTATTACAGAATTTGTTGGCTTTCCAACACTGAAACAAGAATCTGAAAAATATTCCACAACATGTCCTGATGGTAGTTCTTGGCTTCGTGAATGTGTTATTGATTCAGATTGTAAATCAGGGGAAGAAGTATGCGCAGAAGGAAAATGTTGCGCAGGTTCGGACTAACTTTTGCACCAAAAATAAATAAAGAACGAAATCTAATTATGTTTGTAAAAAATGAAAAAAATTGATGATGTAATTGTTGTGCAAAAATTGAAGCACAAATTGTGCATAAATTTTTTTCAAGAAATTTTTGTCATTGAAAAATTTGAATATATATTTTTTGCATTATAGCTTGTTCATATCGCCGACGCCGCGTATTAAATGACCTTCCTACCAATGATATATTGGGAGTTCATATTCCACAATGTGATCAATCTGGAAGATACTATCGGCCAACACAATGTCGTATAGCAACAGAAGAATGCTGGTGTGTCTCAGAATTTGGAAAGGTTATTGGGTCACTAAAGCCAAAAACAGTCAATTTAAAAGAAGCATGTGAAGCATTACGATTAGCTGTAAAGCAAGCAGAAGAAGAAAGACAAAAATTATATCGAAAAATTTGGGAAGGAACAGATCTTCGACGAAAGCAAGAAAATTTTACAAGTGTTAGAGAATCAAATGAAGCATTAGTCAAAGAATCAAAAAATTTGCATACAAAGTCATTACAACTTGAAAAAGTTTTAATTGAATTAGCTCAAAAATGTTTGTGGGCTAAACGTGGACAATGTCCAAATAAGCCTGAATTAGCACAACAAGTTGAAGTTTCATCTATATTTTGTCACTGTGATAGTGACTGCTCGGAAAATCGGAAGTGCTGTCCAGATTCAACTGGTCAGCGATTGATCTGCTCACCAATTACGAACACTAGTAAATTTTCTCTAGTAATTACTTTCGATAATTCATATATTATCATTACAAATGTTATAATTATAATAAAATAATTTCACAAATAATTTCTATATTACTTTTTAACTATCCTTTGGGATATAATTTGCTGCAAAATTTTTTCGAAACTTGACTTCCTATTAAAAAATCTTAATTTTAAAACTAAATACGATGCAATTTTTTATTTTTTTCTTCCATTCAAAGCTAATAAACTCTATCACCAAGGTCACCGAAAGGTCATTTGCAAGAAATTGCTTTTTTAATTTCACAATCGAGAAAAAACCTGTATTTAATTATACTCAATTACTGGACAGTAAAAAATAATCAAATTTATGTCTAAGTTATGTAATTGG